TGTTGTAGAGTCAAAGAAAAATGAGAGCAGATAAGCACAGCAGATGAGTTTGATCCTCCAGCTCCTCTAGGGAAGAGAGTTGCCTGCAGCAGAGAAGGGAATAGAGCAGAGTTCTGCCTGGCAGACACTGACTCCTATCCTGGCACTGTCCACATCGCCTGGGAACTGCCTCTAGTGGCTTGCTGTTCCAGAAGGCTGTATGGACACTGGCATCACCTGCACTGACCAAGAGAAGAGCAGGCTGTGGATGAGCAAAAGCCCTTGGGTGAGGCTTGAACTCTCAACCTCAGCATCCTTTTGCTTAGTTCTGCTCTGTAGGTACTGCACACTACTCCACCAGGGCATGCTTGCAAGTGTGGACTGGAACCCACCAAAAGCCACTTTCTACTGATTATTATTGCTTCTCCTTGTTAACTTCTTCCCAAATGATTTCTTCTTGCCTCATTCCAGCAAGGAGCAGCCAGTGGTCCTTGGCTTAGCCAGGCTACAACTGCTGCCAACTCCTCCTGGATCACCATTGTCATGAGAACAGCAGCACACAGCCCCTCATCACTGGCATTAAGTTCTGGTCTCACTGGAATATGGTTGAATGTATCTTTGGTATGGTTCTCAGCTTTCTCAGCATCTCCAAGCCCACGGTGTCAGACACAGGAAACATTGGTAAAGGATGACTGAATTTGTTAAGGGAAGTTAGAAGTGACTGCCTCTTCCTGCTGCTTTGGCCTGGGACTCTCCTGCTCAGCTGCTGGAGCCCAGTCCTGTGCCTGGGGACCTGGAGTCTCTGCCCATGCTGAGGGACACAGCTGCTGCTTTCCCATTTACAGGTTCAACCAGTAATGAAGCTGATCATGTATCTGAGAGATACACACAAAGACACACACACTCACAGAGGACACTGACACAGCCAGTGACACAGACTGCCACAGACAAGGCGCTGCCTTCAACAGCACCTGCATACAGGACCCACATAAAACACAGGCACAGATGGCCAAGTCCCCTTCCTCCTCTTTGGCTGGTAGAGATAGAATTCCACTAGTAAAAGCACGCCCACGACATGCTCTGCATATATTTGCAGATCCTTTGAGTATTGGCACAGCCCCTCTGTCCGCCTGGCACCCTGTCCAGGTCCCTCTTACTCACCCTGCGGATCCCCTACTCACCAGCTTGACACTTAGTAGCAAACACACAGCACTCATCCACTGGTCCCACAGTTACCCCACATTTATGTATCCTTCTGGATTACAGCATGGACCCCTGCTCACCTGATACCCCAGCCTGGACCTCAGCCCCCGCTACTTGCTGGTTGGTTGAGCTTGAAGTTTGCTAGTGAATACACATGCATGCCCCCATGCACACCAGGACTGGGGAAGATACAGAAACTCCCCCCTTCCCACACTCCTGTATCCTCAGTGGTCAGAACTGGGCATGTGGGCTGTGACCCGTGGTCCCACTCCAGCCACTGGTGCTGCTCAACCCCTCACTTGCCTCATTCATGCTGCCCCCCACCCCAGAAGCTGTTTTTTGGGATGGACACTGTTCGCACCCCAGTGTCTGGGGTCTGCCTCCAGTAGCTGGCACCAAATCCACTCATGCCAGTCACCCAGGTAGCTAGCACCTAGTCCTTGCAACACACATACACATGGGGTTTAGAGTGAGATTATACAGAGAGATCATTAAGAAAAGATTTAATAAGAAGATAGGACAGGCTGCAGTGATCAGACATCGGGCTTGGCTCAGTCAGACAAGCATACTGACTAGCCCTGTTTTGCAGGTGACTGATCCCTTTAACACCCATTTCTGCCTACTCCTCTTTTGTTTCTCCACAGTTGCCTTAAAGGAGCAGACACTCTTGTTTCACATATCCTTACTTAATTCATCAGTGTCCCATGCCCACTGACTTCATCACAGGATATTTTGAAAAGAGAGGAAGAAAAGACATCTCCAGAATGCCCATAATGTGAAGAAAGTCATGTTTCTGGCGCACTTGTACTAGATAGTGCTTCTCTGATAAAATATCCAAAGTGCCAGTAGCTGAATTGTTGGTGCCTACATCCTCTGAAGCACAGATCATGACTGCAAGCTCTACTTAGGGTTTTGACCACCTCAGAAATTGCAAATGTCCAGCAATTTCATCCACTCCAAAGGTGACAGGACAAAAAGCTGTTGCGGGTATTCAGCTTCCCTTGGCATGCATTTCACAACCCCACAAACACTGGAGATCTGTGCTTGCCTTGTGTCTTAACGATCCTAACACTCTCTGTCACAGTCTCAGTCTCCCTTCTGCCATCGTGGGAGCTTTGCAATTTGAGAGCTGGGCTCTGCCAAGAGTAAGAAAGAGTTTTGGGAGTGCTAGGAGGCAAGGGAAGCAAAAAGCCACAGTGTTGTGGAGCTGTGAAAGTGCTTCTAGGGGAACGTGAGGACCAGCAACATCATTCTGTACTGGCACCTTTGGTGTGGGAGATATCATTGGACATTTGAAATTTCAGACCTAGAATCTGTCGACAGAGAGAATAGTAGCAAAGTTATTCGGCTAGGGAAGAGCAAAACCCACGTTTTTTGGTACTGTGAAAGCATTGCCCAGGAAAGGGGAGGACCAGCAACAGAGAGCTGTTCTTACACATGTGTTCTGGGAGAAATCACTGGAAGTTTTCCATTTCAAATCTGGGGTCTGCTAGCAGTGAGAGCGACGAAGTTAGTAGCCTTGAGAGGGAAGGCAATCACTAAGACAGCATTTGTGGTACTGTGAAAGCGCAGCCAATGCACGGGGAGGATGAGAAACATCTTTACGTGTTAAAACTATTAATGCAGGAGAAAATGCTGGACATTAGCATTTTCAGAGCTGGGCAGTGTCAATCATGTTAGTGACACAGAGTATTCGCACTCTTAGGAAGCCAAGCAAACAAGGAGAGACAGTATGTTTTTGGCTGCGAATGTGCTAGCGAGGGCAGGTGAAGACCAGCAAGAGCACTAAGACCTTTAGAGCTCTAGTCTGGGAGAAATCACTTGGCGTTTGCACTTTGGGAGGTGGTCTGTGCCGAGAGTGACAGTGAGCTTGAGAATGTGTATGGGGAGTTTTGGGAGACAGGGCAAGGGCAGATCCCCAGAGTCTGTTTGGCTGTGAAAGCGCTGTCAAGGGAAGGGGAAGAGCAGCAAGAGCACAAAGCCCTTAGAGCCTTGGTGCAGGAGAAATGGCTGGACGATTGCAGTTTGAGAGGTGGTCTGTGCCGAGAGTGAGAGTGAGCTTGAGAATGGTTATTGGGAGTGGTGGGAGGCAAGGCGAGGGCAGATCTTGAGTGTGCATTTGACTGTGAAAACACTGGCAAGGGAAGGCGAGGATGAGGAAGAGCACTAGCCTTCAGACCTATGGTGTGGGAGAAATGGCTGGATGTTTGCACTTTGGGAGCTGGTCTGTGCCAAAAGTGAGATCACGTGACCTTGGGGAAATGAGTTCAGAGTGCTGGAAGGCAAGGCAAGTGCAGTTCACCATAGTGCGTGACGCTGACAAAGCGCTGGCAAGGGATGAGAAGGAAGAAGAGCTTTCCGTCCTGCCACCACAGTGAGATAGAGTGTGGGGACTGTCAGGAAATAAGCAAGCATGGAGGGCCACTGTGTGTTTGGCTGTGAAACTTAGTCTGAGGAAAGGATGCGTTAGTTGCTTGGTTGGGTGAATGACTCTGAGGAAGAGGAATAAGTGGCTGCTGCAGCCCAAGTCCCAGTTGAGCATGCACTCAATCCCCCCCCAGAGCACGCAGGCAGAGAACAGCCATACTGACACCCAGGGAGGCAGCAACACCCAGATACTTGTGCTCAGGCCCTGGTGAGGCTTGAACTCACGACCCCTGGTTTACGAGACCAGTGCTCTAACCACTGAGCTACAGGACCCACAACACTCTAATTTCCTGAAACAGGTACAAATTTTGTCCATTCCTTTCCTGTTTAATCTACCCAGTGCTTCCACTGAGCCTGAAGGTGAAAATGGTTCCTCTGTGATTGTAGGAAGACAGTGAGAGAGTTTCCAGAACAAAAGCACTACAGTAGTGGATCCTGTGCACAGGGAATGCAGACACGATTCCCTCCATCACTGCAGGAAACACTGACTTCCAAGGGGTCCCAAGCTGAAACCAGACATCTGGTGCAGAGAGGTAAAGGCCCAGTGGCTGGAAGGGATGGGACCATCTGAGAGGGCCTGCCAGCAGGAAGGCTCCAGGTTACAGTCCCAGACAGTGTCACTACACACCCCTGCCACAATCACCAGGGAATGTATCATAGAATCATAGAATGCTTTGGGTTGGAAGGGACCTTTAGACACCATCTAGCCCAACCCCCCCACCTGCAGTGAGCAGGGACATCTTTAACTAGATCAGGTTGCTCAGAGCCCCATGCAACCTGACCTTGAATGTTTCTAGGGATGGGGCCTCCACTACCTCTCTGGGCAACCTGTTCCAGTGCTTGACCACCCTCACTGTAAAAAATTTCTTCTTTGTAAAAAATTTCTTATTGTAAAAAATGTGGTCTAGATCATCTTCTTTTGTCTCTTCTCCCCAGGCCTCAGGCATTTTCAGCCCAATAAACCTTTCCAGTTCTTCCATGACTAGAAGAGGTTCCCTCCCCCTTCCCAGAAGTTTGGGCCATCAGTAATACAGCAACAATCCTGACACTGGGAATGGCACCCCAAGAACTGGCAACACTGAATTTCCCTGTCATCTCTGTGTGCCTGCCCAGGTCTATGTCCTTCCTCTGGTGCTCTGACCACTTCCCAGTCCTGATGTCTTAGAGCAAGATTCGCCTCAGGGTCAGAAACTTCCCTGAAATCATCATAGCCATCTGCTGAGTCGCAACTCTGCAAGTTGGAAGCTGGAAAAGCTGATTGGCTAATAGGGGTTGAGAACCAGATATGCAGTCATCCCCCATTGTAACAAAAGTGCATATACATTCCTCTTTAAATCTGAACAGTTAATGATATGATGAGCTCAAGTTCTGCTGTTTTGTTTTCCCCCATTTCTATCTGACCCACGGCATCCAGGCAGCAGGGGTGAACTAAGCCTTTTATCACCCACAAGGGATGTCTCAGAAATGAAAACAGAAAAGTGGGCAGGGAAAATGAAAACTGTAAGAAGCTGGGGAAAACTGATAGAAAATATATGCCTTACTGGGAAAATATTAAAAGCTCACTTTTGGAGGGGTAACTTGAATGACTGGATTAGTGATTAAGTGTACTGGAGACAGAATTGTGGAAGAACTGAATCTTAATTTTAGGAGCTTGGCATAAACAGCAGGCAAGAAGCATGTTGAAGGCTAACTCTGAAACTTAGCTAACATTGTATCAGGCAAAGATGTTTTTGTAAGCTGACAAGTAAAGGACACTTAATCATCCCTAATCAGAAGAACAAACATTTAGTATCCTTTAACCAAAGACATCCCAGAGCAACTAGACCTTGAGGAAGTACTGAGAAACTGATAAAAAGGAACATCCTACCCCAGAAGGTGCTGGAAAAACTGGATGATTTCTGAAAAACAGCAATTGGGGGAAAGGTAATTCCGGCAGGGGAATAGATACCGGAGCTACGCTTTCTGTAATTACAAGTTGTAAGGGGCCTTTAAGTAAAACTTATATGCCAATTATTGGAGCCACGGGAAAGCGAGCTTTAAAGCCCTTTTTGAAACCAATGGAATGTACAGTCAGGAATACAACTTTGACTCATAAATTTCTATATATGCCAGAATGCCCCCTTTCTTTCCTGGGGTGAGACATGTTGTGTAAAATAAGAGCACAGTTAAGTTTCTCTGAATATTCTATTCAGTTGCATCTACCAAAAGAAACAGCTTGGAAGGCTCAATTGTGTTTATTGACTAAGAAGGTGTCAGAAAACATGGAAATTCCAGAAGAGATCCTGGATGCTGTGATACCCCTGGTCTGTGCCACTGAGAAACCTGGACGAGCCAAGAATACTGCACCAGTAAAACGTGAACTGAAACTGAGAACACAACTGGTAAGAAAGAAAAAATATCCTATTAAAACAGAAGCCAGATTTGGGCTGGAACCTGTAATAAATAGATTTATTCAGTATGGGCTATTGCAAGAATGTCAGTCTGAATATAATACTCCAATCCTACCTGTAAAGAAACCCCATACCCAGGAGTACTGATTGGTACAGCATCTAAGGGAAATAAATCGAATAGTTGTTGATGTGCAACCAGTTGTTCCAAATCCTTATACTCTTTGTCTTCAATACCTGAGAATAATACTAATTTTTCAGTATTGGATTTAAAGGGTGCCTTCTTCTGTATACCACTGGAGAAGGAAAGCCAGAAGGTGTTTGCCTTTGAGTGGGAAAGCCCAACTACTGGCAGGAAAGTACAGCTCTGTTGGACTGTACTTCCTCAAGGCTTCAAGAACAGCCCAACCCTTTTTGGTAATGTACTTGCAAAAGAATTAGAAGATTAGCAAGGTAAGAATTCTTCCATTACCTTACTGCAATATGCAGATGACATCTTATTAGGAGCTGAGACTAAACAAGAATGTGTGAAAGCTACTATTATCCTGCTCAACTTTTTGGCACTGGTTGGGTACAGAGTATCTAAAGAGAAGGCCCGGATAATGTGAAATACTGTAACCTACTTAGGTTTTGAGACACCCCAGGGGGAGAGGAAGTTGGGAAC